TATATATATATATATATATATATATATATAAAGAAAAACTAGTATGTGTTCTAAAAAACTAAACAATTCAAAAATAAGGTATCTAGTGTTTATTCACGTATTTCGTAGTGCCCATAATAACACCATGCATGACACTGACACTGTTGGCACAAGCGTCATCTGGCACAGCGTCTTCAAAACATTCACAAAATGGCGAATTAAACACGATGAAGCAACCGCCATTTCAACATCATCTTTTTAAAATCCATCACTTACCCTGGTCTTGCTCACTTTCTTGCCCATTTTTCCTCTTCTCTGCACTAGATTGATAATGCTGCGCCGCTTTGACAGGAGGGGGAGCCGGACCTTGCGTAATTTGCAGGGCCCTACGCAACTTGCATAGTGAGCGTATAGGGCCTTTTTTATATTGATTGGTGTTTGGGCCCAGCTAACATGTGCCAGTGGCGGACCACCGGTGGCAAACTTGCCGGCCAGCCAGGGGACACCAACCGCGGTTCACTGACGTTTTGCTCATCGTTATTCTAGTGGACCACCAGAGGCAGTCACCATTTTTTCTGACAGTGGTCCTCTATGGGCCGCTGTTTTATAATAAATGTTTGCTGGCAGCCCACGGTCGGTCCATCGTTCATAATTAATTCCTCAAACTACTCAAAATGTCCTTCCACACTAATAAATACACACCTTCCACACTTCCACAATAATCAATCAAAAACGTTATACACCACTCTCAGTAACAGCAAATGTATTAATATTTTCAATGAACATAATATACAAATACATTTACATTTATCAGATGCTTTTATCCAAAGTGACTTACAAATGAGGAGTATTCAATTCATGATTATGTGTACTCTTTCAAAAATTAACCATGGTTTTACAGCATTTGCAGTAAAAACATAGTATAAACAAAACAAATCACATTTTTACTACAATAACCATGGTTTAACCATGACTGTTGTACAAACCCAATTAGGAAGATGCGACAAAGAAGACCTAAGACAGTTGAACAACTAGAAGCCTGTATTAGACCAGAATGGGACAACATTCCTATTCCTAAACTTGAGCAACTTGTCTCCTCAGTCCCCAGACGTTTGCAGACTGTTAAAAAAAGAAGAGGGGATGCCACACAGTGGTAAACATGACCTTGTCCCAACTTTTTTGATGTGTTGATGCAATGAAATTTCAAATCAACTTATTTTTCCCTTAAAATTATACATTTTCTCAGCTTAAACATTTGATATATGATGTTGTATTCTGAATAAAATATAGAAATTTGAAACTTCCACATCATTGCATTCTGTTTTTATTCACAATTTGTACAGTGTCCCAACTTTTTTGGAATCGGGTTTGTAGTAAAACCATAGTACCTACAAGTCATGGTTGCTACAGTTTTACTATAATAAAACCATGGTTAATTGTCCTATAAGTATAGGTTTAATCGCAATCCGATTATTTTCTAGATCCCATAGTAAACATTTTATTTGTCCTCTTTAATTGGGGAACAAACACATTCTCTATGGAATAGACTACATATGCCATAGGAACACAGGCCATCATAACAACAATTTACAAAACCCTTCAAAAAATTGGGATCAGTTAAGTTTTTATTTATTTTACGACTTTAAAAAAAAGTGTCTTGTGCTCACCACAACTCCATTTAGAGTATCAAAATACAATAAAACAATAACATTGTGAAATAATATTACAATTCAAAACAACTGTGTTCTATGTGAATATATTTTAAAATATATTTTATTCCTGTAATGCACAGCTGAATTTTCAACATTATTACTTCAATCTTCAGTGTCCCACGATCCTTCAGAAATCATTCTAATATGCTGATTTAGGTGATTTGTTTAGGCATAAGTTTGAGCAACGCTGAAAATATATTTACCTTTTTTTAAATAATCCATTAAACCTGCTGAGATACAAGAAGCCTTAACTAAAATTCTCAGTCCTGGAAACTCATGAATATTCATGTATGCTCTGCCCACTGAAACCGAAAATTTCAGAAGCCGAAAATCTCATAACACTGGGAAAAACGTGAGTGTTAACAGGTATGCACGTGAACCGATCATCTCTCCCTCTTTACTAGTTAGCATGAAATAAACATGAATGAACATAAGAGGGTATATTGTTTTAACCGCGGAAAGACATCAATGCACACCACTTTCAAGTTCAAGTTCACAGACATTTATCTACTCTACTATCTTGTTTGTTTGTCGGACAAAATGACAAATTCTGCTTTATGATTAGTCGGATCACATGTCAATCAAACTCCCTGTGAAGGGTCAGTTGCTGTGTCTGACTGATCTGAATGCTCAAACAAACAGATACATGTTTTGATAGTGCCAACGTTCATCCTACGAATTACTTAAATCCATCTCTGCGTATTAGGCTGAGCTAGGAGACATTAAAGGGTTAGTTCACCCAAAAATGAAAATTCTGTCATTAATTACTCACCCTCATGTTGTTTTAAACCCGTAAGACCTTTGTTCATCTTCGGAACACAAATTAAGATATTTTTGATGGAATCTGAGAGCTGTCTGACCCTGCATAGACAACGTATGCTGTTCTGTGTCAGCTGCGTCACGCTGAATCTGTTTCCTACGTTGCTGTGATTTGATCTGAACGAAAACAGCGTATACGTGTGACGCAGCTGACACAGAACAGCATACGTCGTTTACGTCAAGCTGATACTCTCCAAAATGGCGCTACATGGTGACACGGAGGAGACGAATTGTAGGATAAAGTCTTTTTTTTTTTTTTTTTTTTGCACACAAAAATAATTTTCGTAGCTTCGTTAAAATTAAGGTTGAACCTCATGATGTTACATGGATTATTTTACAGATCTCCTTGCTACGTTTCTGGACTTGGGAACATTTCAGTTGTATTGCTGTCTATGCAGGGTCAGGCACGTCTCAGATTACATCAAAAATATCTTAATTTGTGTTCCGAAGATGAACGAAAGTCTTACGGGGTTGAAACGACATAAGGGTGAGTAATTGATGACAGATAGTTTGGGTGAACTATCCCTTTAACATTTAAAACAATTATGTTTACTTTAAATGTCAGATTACCTAGAAATACATCTTTACAGTGACAATTGCACATTCTGACTTTATACAGACAGCAGTGATCAATATGCTCTGCTCTCAGACAGCAGCAGAGGAGCTGGAGGAAACTACATTGTTAGTTCTGCAGCTCTAAAACACACAGGAGTTTATGTGTGTACAGCAGAGAGAGGACAACCAGCCTATAAGACAGCCTTCAGCAGCAAACAACAACTATGGGTCACTGGTGAGTATTTTTCATTTTTGAATGCACAAATTTAAAACATTTCTAAATTGTAGCTGTAATTGTCTTCTCAGGTGTTTCTCCTCCAGTCTCTCTGATCATCAGTCCCAACAGAACTCAACACTTCAACCTGGTCTCTGTCTCTCTGAGTTGTGAGGACCAGAGTAACTCTGATAGATGGAGAGTGAGAAGTTACACAGACCATTGGGGGCTGGAAGATTGTTCATCATCGGTGTGGGGATCACAAACAGGATCTACATGTAAAATCAGCTCTACCGTCCCATCAAACACTGGAGTGTACTGGTGTCAGTCTGAATCTGGAGAGAATTATCATCCTGTTAATATCACTGTACACAGTGAGTATAAAGTTATGTATGTATTCATTTCACAGGCAGTTACAGTCAGTGCATAAAGCTGGTCAGTACAGGAAGCAGGGGTCTTCATAGACCAGATAACATTTGTAGTTTATTAGCATAAATAGTGTGATTAGTGTGTTCACACTGAAAATTCCAAAAAGAAAAAGAGTATGTCAAATACCCAGATGATGCACTTCCACAAAACTAAGTGTGGGAATGTTGCTCACTTCATATACTCAGCTGTCACAGCTTTAATTACTTACTGGAGGGGGCATGGCTATCAGATTCTGATGTTGCATGACAAGATAACCTTATATAATTAATACACTAAACGGTTGAGTACATATATTTGTGGTATATGATTATTCGTATTCTTAACTGGGATCTATACTCTTAAAAATAAACGTTCTTTATTGGCATCAATGCTTCCAAGGAGAACCTTTCCATTGCACAAAAGTTTCTTTATAGTGAATTCTTTATTCTTTATAGTGGTACATTAGATTATTAAAATGATCTTTACACTAAGAAAATAAATTATATGGGAACCCAAACTTGTTCTTCTGTGGCATCACTGCGAAAACACTCTTTTGGAACCTTTATTTTTAAGTGTGTGTAGAAAGTAATTACATAATTATTTAGTCCTTAAGTCACCCAGCAAGCAAACAAGAGGTGGCTGTGGCAAGAAATAAAAAACATTTTGGTGTTAGATGCAGAAGAAAAAATGGGGTTGTTGGGGGAATATAATGTCAGTCAGGGGCAGTTTCTTCATTAGGGCGATAGGGTGACGCACCAAGTGTTAAAGGGAGGGATTTTTTTCCATCACATTCAACCACAGTGAGCTAGCCGTCACCGTTCTAGACTTTGTTCTGCCTCTGGATATATAGTCCAATCAGCGTCAAATCACATTATGTGGAATACCGCCCCTTTTTGGGTGATTTCACTCTGGCTAAGAATCGCGCAGACTGTTCTCATAGACTTCCATACAAAGATTTTTTTTTAGAACTTCAGGGACTGCAGTGGAATCTCTGTGTGTTCCGGAAGGGCTTTCATCATCATATGTAACCTTAACTTGTGCAACGATTGGCAGGAACAAACACACCTCTATTAATTATCTTTAAGCTGAATTCAGGACTAGTCTGTATGGCCTGAATAAAGCAAACCAGTATCTTACCAGTAAAATTTTGATGGATGACAATTGTAATGGAGGTAAAGACAATTACAGTGACAAACAGGAGTCGTTCATTATTAGACACGTGAGTCCGTTATTATTAGTGTGCAAATAAACAAACCGTGTATGTGCGCTCTCTGATAGCTTTTTACACGAGAACATTTCAGTATGATCACATATCTGGCAAGTGTTTTATAATGGGCACCAGGGATGTCATGCGGTGTAATTGTCATTGATTGGACGAATGCAGCACGCGACCTGTTTACATACAGCATTGTGCATCCTCATGTATTGCCGACTGTACTATGTCGTTCTTCCTGAATGGACTTTTCAGACTATGAAGGTAAGAATGAAACAGTCTCTTCTTCACTTCAATTGATATGTTTTCCATCACCAGTTGATATTTTCTTTGACAGTTTATACTTGTACAGTTAGGTGGTTTTTCTGAGACTGTGACCAAAGCATGTGGATGAGGCACACGATTCTGTGTTTGTTGTTAAGCATCTAACTGTAACATTTTAACGTGGCATCATTTCACACTGTGCAACTTTAGAAGCGGAGCAGGGTTAAGGACCCATTCACAAAGAACACATTTTTGCTTTAAAAACCAGAGACGCAGGCAGTGGAATGGCAATTTAATCATAACAGTGAAAGCTATACAATGCAGTCAACTTCTCCATTTACAAAAAGTTTGTGTTTCCTCTGTTATGTAGTTGGTGTGATTCTGGAGAGTCCTGTTCATCCTGTGACTGAAGGAGATACTCTGACTTTGCACTGCTTATATCCATATACAAGCCCACCAAACCTCAGAGCTGATTTCTATAAAGATGGATCACTCATCCAGAATCAAACTACAGAGATGATCATCTCTAATGTCTCAAAGTCACATGAGGGTTTCTACTACTGCAAACACTCAGAGAGAGGAGAGTCACCCAAGAGCTGGATCTCAGTCAGAGGTGAGAGTCAATAGAAACTGTGAGCTGATTTATTTCTTCTTATTCTCTCATTCGGATATAGTACATGATAAAGTGCTTGTGTGTCTCTTTTTCAGTGTCTCATTCAGAATCTCAGATCTCTGTCCTCCACACACTCAGTTCTGTACTGGCAGTTTGTCCATATTTGCTAGTGACAGTCGTGCTGATTTTCAAATGCTGCAGAATGAGAGGTAAAATGTCTGGTTTATTTGAAGCCACTGTAATCATATTTTATTGACAAACAGCTACCTCTTGTGTGGTGTTCTCTTTGACAAAGACATTGTTGTCTGTCTTTCTAGTCAAATTTGCTTTAATATCGTTAAAAGTTGATTGTAGCAATAAACACAGAAAAAAACAAGTGAATACTGAGATGATTGTGTGTGTGTGTGTGTGTGTGTGTTTAACAGTTTCATCTGTTGAAGAGGAAGAAACTTCTATTTGACATTCTGTTGTGATGGTGAGAAATGTCAGCTTCATCCTGAATCTCTCTTCATTTCTCATTATCTATTCACAAGCTTTTACTTGTCGACTGGAAGTTGTTTTGAGAGTGACAACTGCATTTAAATGCAAGAATGAATCCCATTAGTTTTTGTTCTCACTGTCTAAGAAATGCAGAAGTCACTCAAATTCACAATAGCTAACCATTTGCTGTTTCTGTGTTTGCCTGCTTCACATTATAAACACATGAGTACAACACTCTTTGTAAGCATGGATGTATATTCCTTATTTTAGCATAAGATTCCTGATTTGTATCGCTGCAATGCTCTGTATGTTTTTAATATTTACTGTTTCCTTGTTTTATATCGTTTTTTTAATTATTATTCTGAAGCAGATGCTTTGTTAAATTCTTTATGTGACCGTGTAACTTGAACAGTAAAAGAAAAGGAACAACAGTCTATTACTAAAAATTTTTCAGGTTTTACATGCCAATCTCTAAATATTTGTTAATAAGTTTGTTGTTTCCAGAGCCAATGAATTCACATGCTTATTTTTACACATCCTGTTGTTCTGACTGGTGTGTAAAAATGTTGCATACTATTGTTCACATGGTGAGAACTGCTGGCTATAGTGACATTGTGTGTTTTTAAATGTTTTACATCAGCACCAAGTTTATGAAACAGAAGCTTATTTTTATTACAAAAATATATACCCAGGAAAGTTATTTTTACACAGAAGACAAAAACTTTAATCAAAATCTAGCTAAGTAAAATATTATAATATATTAAATGTCAAGCTATATTTACGGATGTTTAATCAATCATGAACATCCCTAAAACAAGAAGATACCCTACCTAGGCTATGCTAATTAACTAGTCAGCCAACAAATAATAAACCTTTCAATTAAAATTTAACGTGTTTTATTCCTATCATATACACATTGTGTAGGTAACCATTAAGTTCAATCTGTTTTTCTCCCAGTTCACTGGCCACTTACTTTCAGGTATTTCAGGAGAAATGGGTGAATTACTTGATGTTAATCTGACAGATCCACACGACAGCGTCCAGCGCGCATTATTCTGTAGATCAACTATCATGGTCATTAAAGGAACACTCCACTATTTTTGAAAATAGGCTCATTTTCCAACTCCCCTAGAGTTAAAAAGTTGAGTTTTGCCGTTTTCTAATCCATTCAGCTGATCTCCGGGTCTGGCGGTAGCACTTTTAGCTTAGCTTAGTTTAGCATAGATCATTGAATCTGATTAGACCGTTAGCATACCGTTAACAGAGTTTCTATATTTTTCCTATTTAAAACTTGACTCTTCTGTAGTTACATCGTGTACTAAGACCGACGGAAAATGAAAAGTTGCGATTTTCTAGGCCGATATGGCTAGGAACTATACTCTTATTCCGACATAATAATCAATGAACTTTGCTGCCATACCATGGGTGCAGCAGGCGCAATGATATCACGCAGCGCCTGAAAATAGGCTAACTTCCATCAATATAACCAACGTGACCACCTGCTTGCACAGGGAGCATGCTGGGGATTATTTTCAGGCGCTGCGTGATATCATTGCGCCTGCTGCACCCATGGTACGGCTAATCAGATTCAATGATCAATGATCTATGCTAAGCTGCAGCTAAAAATGCTACCGCCAGACCCGGAGATCGGCTTAATGGATTCGAAAACGGTAAAACTCAAATGTCTAATCTATGGGGGAGTTGGAAAATAAGTGTTCCTTTAAGGTTGTTTAAACGACAAAACAAATTAATTTACACATATTTGACAATCAGAATAGGCTGTATCATATAGTTCATGATATAGTTACCAAATTTGTGGATATTTAGAATAAAAAAGGAAAAACTAAATAAAAGTCATACATCTGTCATACAGCGCTATATTGTGCCTGCATGCATGATGTGTTGCTATGGAAATAATAAGATGATACGTATAGATTAATTCATTAATATTGCATTTTGTATTACCATTGTCCATTGACATAATATAAAGCACACACACACAAAAAATAAATCAATAATAAAAAAAAATAATAAAGCTGTCATCTCATGTACTCTTGTGGTAGCCACTTAGTCCGTTTATGACTTGGGCCGGCTCTGTATTATCCAGAAATGAATAAAACACTCGAGCATAAGAGGAAAAGGAAGAACAACAGTGCTTCCATTATACTGTGAGTTTTTTTTATTATTATTATTATTATTTCACACATCCACTCTGGACACACTGAAGGTTAGTGAATTTGATTCATATATTGCATAACGCATTAGCGATTCTACACTGTTATAAACTGTTAGAGAAAAGTAGGTTTTTAACGTTTATGAATACACATTTTAACAAGTTAAATTAATAACTTGAAGAACAGTAAGAGAAAGTGTTTTTTTTTGTAACAAGCCATTTGAACTATTCACAAATAATAGGCTATAATATGCACACATTCATTCTTTTTTGTTGGTTGAAAATGCAAAATGACAAAACGGTGTCTTGTGACATTCATCTGCATTACATTTGTCAACAATTGTCAAATGTTAAAGCTCTCTTTGGATTTTCACATTTACACTCTAAGAAATTAGTCCGTGTTATTCCCAATTAATTAGGAAGATGTGGGCTAATGGTTAGAGAGTTGGACTTAAAACACAAAGGTTGTGGGTTTGAGTCTCATGTGCAGCAGGAATTGTCGGTGGGGGGAGTGAATAACCAGTGCTCTCTTCCACCCTCAATAACACAACTGAGGTGAGACCCTTGAGCAAGGCACCAAACTGCCAACTGCTCCCCAGGCGCCGCAGCAATATGGCTCACTGCTGTGTGTGTGTGCACTTGGATGGGTTAAATGCAGAGTACAAATTCCAAGTATGGGTCACCATACTTGGCCATATGTCACTTCACTTTCACTTAAGCTGGCTGCACACTAGACGATTTTCAAATCTTAAAAGATTTTAAAACCATGGGAGACCACAGACATGAAGACAGTTCAAACGATTTTTAGCCTTATGATCCTCTGAATGCGCACAATAGATGATTAAACCAGACCACGAGACCGCACACTTGATGAATGTAGGAACAATTTCACAGTGACACGAGATCTCACGGACACTCAAGAGATCAAACGTGACTAGATAAGAAAAATAAATAGAGGACAATCGATGTTGTCAGCTGGCTCTCCCGGCGCGCATTCTGTTGTACAGTGAAAAACAAAGTATAGGGTGAGACCCTTGAGCAAGGCACCAAACTGCCAACTGCTCCCCAGGCGCCGCAGCAATATGGCTCACTGCTGTGTGTGTGTGCACTTGGATGGGTTAAATGCAGAGTACAAATTCCAAGTATGGGTCACCATACTTGGCCATATGTCACTTCACTTTCACTTAAGCTGGCTGCACACTAGACGATTTTCAAATCTTAAAAGATTTTAAAACCATGGGAGACCACAGACATGAAGACAGTTCAAACGATTTTTAGCCTTATGATCCTCTGAATGCGCACAATAGATGATTAAACCAGACCACGAGACCGCACACTTGATGAATGTAGGAACAATTTCACAGTGACACGAGATCTCACGGACACTCAAGAGATCAAACGTGACTAGATAAGAAAAATAAATAGAGGACAATCGATGTTGTCAGCTGGCTCTCCCGGCGCGCATTCTGTTGTACAGTGAAAAACAAAGTATAGAAAAGAATATGGGTGATGTTCTCTGCTTTCATGGCATGTTTGTGGTTGCCAAGTTTCAGCTATAGAAGCATGCAACATCCAGTAGGTGACGCTTGCTCACTCTCATTGGCTATTGTGGGTATCACGTCAGAGGCAGCCCGATCAAGAGTCGTAAATATCAAACATGTTTGATATTTACGATTTGAGTTCGGTGACGGTCCGTCTCGATCTGGAGCAGATAAATAATCGTAATGACACCACACAATGCGACAAGCCACGATTCGGGCCACACCCCCCGAACGATGCAAATCAGGCTTAAAGTCGGCATGAAAAGGAAGTTGCGATTGTCTTTTCTTCTCTGCTGTGACGTATATCCGAGTGAAACGGCATCTGAAATGAGAGAGCAGGACTTGATTTCGTCCTTCGGGAATTGATTAGATCGTTGGAAGGTGGGGCGTTGCAAACAAAATGGAGGCAGATCTGAATGCCAGTTTGCAGTTAGTGGTGGGGGATTTCTCTCCACTGGATTCACAGCAGACACCCAAGCTTGAATAAATGTTTTTTTTTGAGGATGATGACGACGATCAATGGCACAAAGCATGTCTAAACAGCACGCGTGCTGTTTGCGATGTCCTAAGAGTAATGTTGTCGTAATATCCTAATATCTTTCAAAATGTTTAGGGGTAACGTACTTCCACATGACTGGTGTCAGTGCTATAAAGTGAAGCACCAGCTCCAACTTTTCCCTCTGTCATTTATCCCAGCGTTTACCCCTCACATCACTAGCTCCGACCTTGCACCATAGCTCGTGACCGGAAGAGAAGATGAGTCATTTTGAGGGGGAAAGGAGGTTAATGTTTTTGATTAAAGATTATGAGGGCACATTAATTTTTAAAAAATAATTACCGTATTGGCCCGAATATAATACGAAAAAAAAAAAAACAGGTAGCCCATCTGAATTAGGACATTTAGGGTATCCATCTAATAGTAGCCTACCAAAATCGTATTAACAGTAGAAGTTAAATCTTACTGTAGTCTTCAAATCTGGGTACTGTCTTACGTTTTAAAATCACAAAGGGAGTTTGGTCCCATCAGGCTAACGTGACAGTCACGACTCATGCAGCTGTAAAGTTTTCTTATTCTCTTGTTTTTACTCGCGATCTTTACAACACGCATTACATTACGTATTTCATGGCACACTCGTTTTATGCGTATTTGGTGCCACCTATTGTTGTGGGTGTATTATTGACATGTCAAAGTCTAGACCCTGAATATAAGACGACCGCGTTTTTTCAGATGTATTTCAAAGAAAAAAACATTGTCTTATATTCGGGTCAATACGGTAAGTGCACAGATAAATTATTTATAATAAACACCACAGTATTCCATTAAAAATAAAAACATTTAATTTTGATTTCATGGTGACTTTAAAATCGGCCTTAAAATCCTCTAGCGTGCGGCCAGCCTTAAATAGAAATTTGTACAGCACCACCTACTGGTTAGAAACTGATTTTGCAATCAAGTATTACTGTTCATATAGTAAAAACAGCACATTATTTTCATTTTGTTGAAAATTGTTGTTATTATACAGAAAGACCAAAAGCCAAAGTGAGCATTAAACCTGATCAACATGTATTCAAAGGAGACACAGTCACAGTCTCAGATGTGACATTTATGGTGAAGGAGTCACTAGCTGGCAGTACAGCTGGTATAAAGACGGTTCAAACTGTGTTTTCAGTGAACTACAGGAACACACATTCAGTCCTGTTACGGAGTCTGATGCAGGTAAATACTTCTGTTATGGAGCAGAGAGAGGAGGATCATGCTGCTCAAACGTCAGTGATGAAGTTACACTGACAGGGGAGTTTGATCATCTCTTCACACACACACACACACACACACACACACTGGTATTTTAATCATTACAGGGAGTTGGGGAATCTCCATAAGCATATTGGTTTTGTTGTACAAACTGTATCTTCTATCCCCTTACCCAAAACCTACCCCTCACACAAAACTACAGGCATTTTTAGATTTTCAAAACACTTCATTCTGTATGATTTATAATATTTTTTCCTAATGGGGACCAACAAAAAAAATGTCCCCACAAGGTCAAAGTTTACTGGTAATACTGTACTTGTGGGGTCCTCATAACGTAGGGAATACCAGTCCATACACACTTTGCATGTTATTAAATGAGTGATTTCCCTATTCAGATAGACCCCAGACAGTTAAGTGTTTCTCCACAGAAGTGGTTGACTGAAGGAGATTCAATGACTTTAATCTGTGAGGTTTATGGCTCCACTTCATGCTGGACACAGCTGGTACATTGAAATGGTTTCACAAGTTCCGGCT